CCTATAACATAACCCTCATGCTATTTCAGGTAATTTGAACCAAACAAAAACCCCCAGACTGAAAAATCCCAAAGCCTCATCAAAAAAAAAATAAAAATGCATCTAATGGCTATGGTAGTAGCACCCAGGGAGAGCCAGGCCTGAGTGCTCTGTGATGTGAACATGGTCAGGTCATACCAACAGGCCTCAGGGCTGCAGCACAGTCTCTGGCCTTCCCTTATTTCATGTGTATGTGGTGTTTGCAGTAATGCCATCCCTTTATTAGGGACAAAGTATGAACCTCTAAAAATGCCTTTGATAACAATATGTTTAAAATTGGAGGAGAAATGTAGAAAGCAAAGTTGAAGCAAACATTCACAATCATTTGAAATGTTGTCTTTTCTCTTGATGGCATATCGCTACCAGAATATAAAATAAGACAAACTTGAGAAGCTTCTATGTTGCAGACAAAACTTCTTGAAACTAGATGGCAAAACAGTCTGTGTCATGTGTCAGAGGAGTTTTAAGGCCATTTAGATCAAAAAGTGATGTTAAAATTGTACCATTTATAGCTCTGGCTAAAATAGCCTGCAGCTGATTACCCATTCCAGATGCAGTAAGTTTTTCAGTATGAACCTGAATTGCCTTCAGTGTATTATATTACCTTTACTAGTTACCAGAGATGAATTTTGAGATCTAACACAGACTCACTAGAATGACAGAAAAGTTTCCGTGTTGTAGTGGTGCACCTGAGGAGTTACTGCAGACATTTACAACTGTAATAAGGGGCACAGATTTTGGTGTGATTCACCAGGAAAACAGCACACTGATGTTTGTGGGTGTGCAATACAGTCTGAACGCTTCAGGACGTAGTGGGAATGATACTTACAAACTGTAAGTTTTGGCTTCCAGCATAATTTGGCAGTTTCTCAACTTCTGTGTCACTTGATTGTGATGGCAGTTGTGCACGTGTTATTGGCTGCCATACTTCCCACAAATAAAGTTCATAATTCTACGTGGATATGCCATGAAAACTTTGAGGATGTTTCAGCTGTACTTTCTGAGTGCTCCTGTGACATTGTGGTCATTTGTTTGTAATGTTATTAATGTCAGTATTTTTTGCATTTTATTTGATGTGAATTTGAGCTGCTGTAAGGGGGTTTATGGGGTGCTATTGCACGTGCTTTGTCTAGTTAGCTGGCTTAATCCAGTAACATGACACACTGCGAGGTAGCGAGAGCCTTGAAGTTAAATTATACACTTTATTTTAAATCTCAGAAATAACAGAATGTCCTAAATCTTTGAAGTTATTTTTTATTAGAATGTAAAAAATAAAGTTAAAATTATGTAACTCTTTAAATAGAGAAAACTCATAACTCACATGAAATAGACACACATTAAATAGAAAGGTTTGCAAATAAAACTGTGGTGAGTCTGCTAAGTTCTTTGAAGGGCTTAGTTTTATTCTGGTTCTACTTTTTCAGGCTAACAGCTTTCAAAGATACCCTTGGCTAAACTCATCACACACCCCAATGTGTTCCTATGGAAATTTCCTTCTCCCTGTCACCCCTGAGACATGGCTGTTTGCCGCATGAAATAGCTCCCTGCGCTTTGCAGGAGCCTCCCTGTCTCCATTGGTGATGCTGGTTTCCTGCTTGCTGCCTCTCCTGCTTTTTCTTTCTGAAGCCATTGATGCTGTTTTTCAGCGAGACATTGTCTGCAGTACCCACGTAGCAAACTGCAACTGTATTGAAGAGTCTTTTCCTCCCTTGCAGACAGGGTTTTCTAATGTGCTTGAAGAATTGAGTTTACAAAGTTTGCAAAATTAGGTAATATAATTGCATCTCCTAAAAAATCTGGAATTAGTGGAAATTACAGTCTTTGTTAATGTACAGAACATTATGTCAGTAATCAGAAGTCCCTCCATACACCACCTCTGGGTTTTCACCCTTCCATTGGGGATAGACTACTTTCAAAGGTCAAAGGAGCAAGTGAAGTCCCTTTTTCCAAAGCAATACAGCAGCTTTTGTGCCAAGTTTGTCATCAGTTGTGTTTTTTTACAGAATGGCATTTCTCTGTAATTATAATTGAGTCCATCAACTCCTTTTGCTCATTCACCAGGAAAAGTCAATGAAGGTAAAACAAATCTAGAAGTCATGTCTGTCTTGTTACACAGCTGCAATTACAAAGCTGTTGCTAATATCTTTCAGTCATTACCATATCAGCTGGATATAAAAGGCTTTCTAATGAAGCACAAGTTGCTGGTGTTTAGTTTACAGACTGATTCTCCACTAGCTAAGGCAATTTACCACTGCACTTTTTAAAGTGCAGATCCATAGCAGTTCTCAAAATAAAGACGTACTCATGTAAGCAGATTTCAGTAAGTGGCAAAATGAGGTAGAATAAACAGCATTTATCCAGGAGCAAAACTAACAATGCGTTCATTAAAGGTATCAGTTCAAAGAAGGGTGTAGACTGACAGCAATACTTTAGATTCTAGCAAGGAAATAAATTTTGCTATCCCCAGCTATCCCAAAGAAAAAGTTCTGTGAGTAATTGCAGAGCACAAAAATATACCCATTTGCAGAAACATACACCAGTGAAAACTACACAAAGCAAAAGAAATATGTTTTGTGTAAACAGCAAATCAAATCTCCTTTCCCTTCCTACAGATTCTGAGAAGGTGATTTCTCATTCATACCTCCTCCTAGTGACTGGATTAATCTTTGCTCCTACATGCTCATGACATCTGTGCGACTTGGGAAAAGCAGATGACATTTCCTGGTCTTTGCTTACATGAGGTTCTAGGATTCAAAGTGATAATAAATTGAAAATGGAGGTGAACCAAATAGATTTAAATAAACTTGGGTTTTTTGGGGGAGAAAATACAACTGAATTCAGATGTGAATCTTTTATTTTAGATCTGTCTCATTAGATAATATTCACGACTCCATCGTTTAATTGTTGGGATTTTTTTTCTTTTATACTGGAAGTTCTGCCTAAATGAATGTAATAGGAATGCAAATAAAACATGTAATTTTCCAAGGACTATTGGACAGAGTAAAACCAAAAGCTTAATTCTTTTTTAAAAAATTTGAACCTTATTTTAGGCCTATGGTTCTTTGTCCTTAACTCTGATGATACGGTTGTAACTTACTGTCATTTCTGTCATGGAGGTTTCATTTTGATTCTTGGTATCACTAGAGCCTTTGTTTCTTAAAACTATACAGCCTTATGTATAAATCATAACCCCTTTGAAAGCCATATGATGGCCCTCTCTACCCTGGATGCATGGACCAAGTCAGCAGGCAGTGATGGGAAGGTGAGACCACACACCACCTGGGCAAGCGCTCCATGCCTTGGTGCTGTCTTAATGGTGGGCTGTTTTTGAAAATGAAGGTGTTTGCAGGGAAAAAAATAGGGGCTGTTCACTCCACAATTGCCCATTTCTCTTTCCTTCCCACTTAGCACAACTGCTGTCACATCTAATAGTAGTCATCCCTCCACTGGGAGTCTGTAAGCTGGTTTTGCCACATTTTTAATCTTACAGGTCTTACATCTACTTCATCTATACGAGCCTGGTTCATGAGTATGTGTTCAGTCTAATGACCTTCATCTATACTGGACTGACTTTATCAAGTCTCCTCATTGCCTACGGGAACAGGGTTTTATTTTCAACATGACGTGGACAACTAAATCTGTGCTGAATTATTTGATAAATGAGAGACAGTTAAGTGGGTTAGAAGGATGAAAACCCACGAAGGGGCAGTGGCATCTTTTGAAATCTTAGATGGAAGTGAAAGAAATGAACTGACTCCTATAAATTCCCTGATTCAACACAAATATCCTAATCCTATTTTGGCTGTATTTAGGGTTAAATAATGTAGAGCTATAGCATTAAACAGTGGTGCACATGCAATCTTGATAGTCCAAATAGAGTGTGTATTTTGGGCAGCGGGCGCTGTCATTCCTCTCAGGAGCCTTTGAGCACTAATGAGTCACTCTGCATAAGCAGTTCTGTTTTGGTGGTTAAAACCAGCTATTTATATAACACACAAGTGAATTTTCATACCGCTGTCTTAATCTCAAGTGTTTTTTTCCCTCATCTCTTCTGTTTAAGAGGATCTGATAACTTCAATCTTGTTTTTACTGTAAAAACATGCAAGCCATATATTTAAGTCATAATCCCCTGGAGGATATAATTTTGACAGAATATTGTGCTATGATTGCTTCTCCCCCAGAATATTGCAAACTGCCTGGTGGTTTAATAGTGTGCTATTTGAAATACCACGTGTTAAAAGATGGAGATCTCAGTATTTGGGATTGCGTCTGCTAAGATCACCTTCCACAAGTTCATTTTAACACTTCTGTTTGCTTTGCAGTAATCTGAATGCTAGCTGCTGCTTCTCGGTGCTTTTTGTCAAAATATTCAGTAGTTCTGGGTCAATATTTAGGTAAATCAAGTGATTCTGCTTTAGATTATTTTGTATTTATACACTTTTTCAACCCCCCTTCTCCTCTTTTCAGTGTTATGTGTTTCTGCAGATTTTAGATTTTGCTACTACTTTGTAAAGTCTTACAGATAAAAGATTATTTATGTCAATGATTTAAGGTCAAGATGAATAATTTCACAGAATAAGATTAAGGTTGAGGTATAGCTTCTGAATTTATGGGCTTTTCAGATTTACATCTTAAATATGTATTCTATTCTAATAATTTTTCAGCATTCAGCAACAAAACTAGAATGTTGGTTTGGCCTCTGTGTTTCAGTATTACAATTAAGCCTCATTGCTCCTACCTATAGACAGCTAGCAATGTAAAGAAAGAAGTTAATTAAAAGCGTACATATGTGTTTTTAAGGCAATTTATCTGGTGCTAACAAGATGAAGTAAGTCTGCTGATCATCTGAGTTTAGTACTTGCTCTGACCAGAAAACATCTTACCCTGACTGGCTTTAGGACCAGATCCAATCTCTCTTGTTCACGTGGATGCAACCCTTGTTTCCTCCTGTTTTGTGACAGGTAACCTGGGGTCCCAGCTGGTTGAGTATAAAGAAGAGATGTACATAACGTCTGACTGTGGGAAGACATGGCGTCAGGTAGGAAAAAGGAATCATCAAAGGAAGCTGGAAATAATTTCAACGTACCCAATAGGGTGACTTTTATAATGCTTAGCTAATCTTTATATGCCCACAGTTTTGAGGGAGGTGGCTATTATAATCCCCATTTCACTTGGAAACTGGGAGAGATTAAGGAGGTGATTTGCAAAGACGCAAATTGATTGAGCTGTTAGGTTCTGCTGCAACTGGAATATTTTAGCCTTTTTAAAGATTTTTAGAAGTATCTTGCATAAAAAAACCCATAGAGTCTATTTAGGTTTTTAATAATTTAAGTAATCTTCCTATGCTAATGATGAAGTGGACTTCAGCTAGATCTGGCAGTACAAATATTCCAAGCTGAAAGACATTGCTTAGGTAGAAAGGAAGAAATTCCTCTTCTTCATAGTCTGAAAACTGGTATTTAAGCTTCAACTTTGTTCTCCGTTGAAACTGAGAAAGCAAAAAGAGTTTGAAAAAAGCAATAAACCTTTTAATGTCTTTTAGTATGATTTAATGAATTATGGGACTACAAACATCAAAGTATTTAAAAAAAACCCAGTCCTGTAGTAGCTGTAATGCCATTTGAATTCTGGATGTCTTTTGCTTCCTTTCTTCCAATGCCTCGTGTCAATTTAAACATTACACCTTTATTATCTACTTTTTCCTAAATCGCTCTGTCTCAGCAATGTTTCGTTACAGGGACATTTTCTTTTGAGTGCAAATAGCAATGATAATCATGATCATAATATATAAGGAAGTTCTGTAATCTACTTGTAATTTATATCCAGGAAAAAAACAACCTTCAAATCACCAAAGTGTGTCAAAAAGTCATGTACTTTCAGTTAAAATAATCTTTTAGCGTTCAACTAAAGTAAAATTCCGTCATGTTACTATCTGAGAAGAAATAAGTGTGAAAAAAATGCTCTAAGTAGTGTTATTGAGCTCAGGGAGTATGAGATAGATAAAAATACAGAAAATCTCTTATATTGTTATTGTAGGGTGCTGTTAATACTCCACAGAAGGACTTTTAAGATGAAGTACATTATTTTTGTCATGATAATGTCCTTTGAAGTTTAAAAAATAAAATTTTATGGCAAATTCCTTCTTGGATTCTATGAGATGATGAATAGGTGTTTAAATGCAAAAGTCTTCCAGGATTTATAGTGGGTACTGTGTTGTATAGAGACTCTCTGATCATTTAGTGTCACTGTTTGCCAAAGTTCTATGTTTTTTCTGGGGTGAAAAATAAGAAGGAAAGAGTGAAGGGGATAAAATTTGTATTTTCACTGCTTTTTATTTGTGAGACACTCAGGCAAATGATATGTGATGAAACTTGACCTTAAGATGACTATTCATGCTGTAAACTCAGCCACAAACCGATCCCTCATTATGACAGTCAAAATGAAAAACACCAATGCTAGCTTTATTTTAATTAAAACTGCTATGAAGCTCTTGAAAGAGCTCACTCAATCTTAATATTTGCTATCAGAATGAAAATGTAGATTATTGTATGTATTTTATGGCCTCACTGTTCATGATCAAACAGTTCTTCCAGAGGACAGCGGTACATTTCCTTTCTCTGTTGGAGTTCATGCAACAAAAGACAAGGCTTCAGTCAGATGATATGGGAATTATTTTAACAGTAAATTACAGGTCTCCTGAGCTGGCAAAAGCAGAACAAAGCCCGTGTTTTGGCACAGCTCTTTGGGTGGGTTTAAGTCACTGACTTGGAAACTTTGCAGTTGTCATTAGTGAGTGCCTGTCACCTTTCTCAATTGCCACGTGATGTTGTAGAGCTGTCTACAGGCTACAGTGACAGGGCAATGCAGAAAAGTAAACATAAAGGAATTTGGGGAACAGGGAGTTCAAGGAATTCATTAAAAGATTCCCTGAAATAGTAACAGTATTGGTTCATAGGAATATAGGACCGGGAGGAGGATCAAAGATCACATAATCCAACCATCTGCTCTAAGATGGAATCAAACATACTAAGAACACCTTTAACAGAGGTTTGCCAGACCTGTTTGTTAATCCTTTACTGTAGGAGATTCTGCAATCTTCCTATGTGGTTTTTCACCATTCTTCATAGATTTCTCTGACTATCATAGAATCATAGAATAGTTTGGGTTGGAAGGGACTTTTAAGGGGTATCTAGTCCAAGTCCCCTGCAATGAGCAGGGATGTCTTCAACTAGATCAGGTTGCTTAGAGTCCCATCCAGCCTGACCTTGAATGTTTCCAGGAATGGGGCATCTAGCATTTATCTGGGCAACCTGTTCTGTGTTTCACCAAACGTTAAATGTAAGCTGGGAGAGCTTTTTGCTGTTACTCTGGCTGTTTCACAAATATTGCAAGGTAGGTTGATTGCCTCTTGTCTTCGAAGAGGAGCGGTTTCCTGTCACCTTTGAATAAGTTTTCAAATGTTGAAAGGTGATTATCATGTCTACCCAGAGCATAAGGGTTTTTTCCCTTGGAAAAAAAGCAAACTGAAATCCACTAATTTTCTTAATGGATTCAATTTCTAAAGTGCTTTTCCTTTTTGCTGCTCATCGATTGGTCTAATATGACATCCCTCTCCTGAAACATGGTAAAACCAGATGCAAAATTACAAATTTTATTGATACTAAACAGCACAAAATGATTACCGTTGAGGTCTTGACGTTACTGGCACATCATTTCAGAAGAATTTCTCTTCTTTGCGCTAGCATCACATTGTTGACTCAGATTCAATTTGTGATTCATAAGTAGAAATAAAAATGTCCAAATGAGTGTTTTATGAAATTAAGTAAATGTTGGTGTTAAATCGAAAATAAATCAAGGATTCTGATTATAAGTAGCTACACCACCACTTGGGCTGATGGTTGTTGTTCTCCTGTCTTTTTGTTGCATGTCACTTGGGCTACCTTTCAAGAGGTATCTCTTGAAACTGTCGCTCTACTGTGTACCATTTTAAGGCAAACTGAAATTTCTGACTCTGTATTGTACAACATTGCACTGTAAATAGCAGTAGTTTAGGAACTGATTGACAAGTAGCTTAAACATCCATGCATCCAGTGATCTGGCTTGTAGGAGAAGGGAATCTCACTTGGACATTATTCTGAACTACACGGGCTTAGATCATCTCAAGTGAACCATGAAGATGTAACCCAAGGTAAACTCGTGGGACATATACATCTATTTGGAAGATTTCTATGCCTAGTATAGCAGGAAAACTATCATAAAATGTCTTAATAAACGTGATGGGAGTCAGATAGATAAATAAATCTTGCATACTGGGAGAAATGGCTCCCTTTGAAAACAATTTCAGATTGTACAGGTTTTAGACATTTTTTTTCCAAGTGGGCACCTGCTTTTTCAGTCCTGATTTTTAAAATATTTGGATACTCCGTCAAAGGCTAAGGATGACCTTGTTTACACATATGAGTGTGTTTTATTTATTTTTTAAGAAAACCTGATTTCTGTTTACAGTTATGGTTGCCATTGCTATTTCAACAGCATCTGTTACAATAGTGTGCTTGAAATAGTGCAGAGTAAGAGAAAGGTCTAGCATTCAAAAGAAATGGCTTAAATAAAAGGGAAAAAAATCAGCAACGATTTTTTTTCCATATTTGATCTGCTACCAAAGTAGCTAGTGTAGCAACAAAATGTTCAATTAAGGTAATATGATTACGCAGATAGTCTGAATTGTGTCCAGGAACTGAATCTAGATGTCTGGAGCTTTAGTCCAGTTTGCTTAAGTGAGTATACTTGTTTTTCTGTAGACATCTTAAGAGATGGATGGTAACACCTTTAAGCACAACAGGAAAGGCTGCAATGCCAGCGCCTCACCCCTGGGAAGATCCAACCAGCTTATCCTCTGTTTCCAGATATGAATTTAGAAGTGGAGGAGAGAGAGAAAGAGAAGTTGACATTATGACTATAAAGCACATAACATGCTTGAAAAAACACAGAAGAAAAAAAGTACAGAAAAAGGCTATAAAAATCTAGTTTTGTAGTGGCTGGCTAGTAGTAAAGATGATAATAAATGTGTTACCTGAACTGTAGTTAGAGACATAGATCAGAATTCATGGCTAACTCTGAACATACATACACCTTGTGCCTGAGCTCCAACTTCAGTCCTGACTCTGGGACCACCTTTGCCTCAACTCTTTGCAAATTGTTTGTCTTGATTTTGGTTCTAGAAAGTAGAGATAAATATTTACTTCTCTGCTGAACTCCACAGGCAAGAAATCATTAATCCTTTTCAGTGTACTGGAGATGAAGAGTTGCTTTCATAAGGAATTTCATACATTTTGTTTATAAAATGTTTGAAATGTATGCAAGAAGAGCATGATATAAAGATGGCATTAATATGCCTGTAATGTCTCTGCTGTGCTTCATAGTGTGCTAAAGCTGGGGTACTAAAATGGTGCATGAGGAAGTGCCATGGTGCTTTTCTGGGAAAACCTAGTTTGGATGAAGTGATGCAGATACTGGCTTCCCTTATCTTCAGTATGATGGTGAAGCTTGCGGAGTCTTCGTGTCCCAGCATATACTGTTTCATTTTGATTTGAGCAAAAGTTCAAACAAAGTTTAGAGGAAGATCAAGACTCTGCTTGCTTATTTGTCTCCAGCTGGTCTCATCCTTTTGAAGTGCATCTAAAATTAATGTCTGTCCTCTGCTGAATTCTCTTCTGAAATATGCAGCTGTGTGGAACAAGTAAATAGGACTGTAAATGTCTCATATCTGCGTTTTGCCTGTAAATAGGCAACATTGAAAAACTGATCAGACACTTGAAGCCCTAGGATTCCCATAAAATATGCTCTTACTGGATGAGAGGAAGACTGAACTCTGAACCCAAATTTAACACTTGCTGTTTTTGAAAAAATTGTGAATGTGCTCTAAGATACTTCCCCCCCCATCTTGTGGTTCAGTCTTGCTGATAAATCCTCTAAATGTAGTATTTAGTATTGTCAAAAAACAAGCAGTTAGTATTGTCACTATTTTTTCATTCACAAGGCAAAATAGAGCTAGACTTTATGTTTTTCACCTTTGCTTTGTCAAAGCATGTAGGAGGCTGCGTGTTCATCTATTAGCTGCTAAGTGTGTGTAGTAATTCTCACTTTATCACCTGCTCTTATGTTAAATGAAGTTTCACAGGCTAATAGCATGAGTAAACCCTGTCTTAAAATAGATTTCAGATGTAAAAAAGGGAACATACCTGCCTTTTCATTTATTTTAGTACTGCTGATGACTGCTAGAAAATGTATTAAAAGAATCCAAGAAATTTTGAGTCCTTTGAACTATTAAATCAATATTGCTTGTATTTTGGTTCAGAACTCAGAGTGGCCTCTGTGTGAGATCTCATAAAGTATGAATTCAGAGAACATGTGATAAATTCACATCCAGCAATAGTTTTCCTATTTTTCTTAGAATTAGACTACAAAGCATTTCATTCTGCAAGATACACAGAATATAGCAAATACCGAAGTAAGGTGATAGGTCACTTGGTGATATATAATAGGAAGAAATGCAGAATGCATACTGTGAGAACTATAAGCTTGGGCTAAAATCACTTTAGACAGTTTAATCTGACTGTGATTTGAACCTGAACATTTTCTGATTCACCTGCTTAACTTTCCTTTCTTTTACAGCTAGGAGAAATACAAGAGTTAAACTGACTTTTACGTCCCTTTCAATTTGAAGTGTGGGCGTTATAAAAAGTATAAGTCTTTTAATCTTGGTTTGCTCATATATTTTATTTCTGCTGTTTTGTACATTTGCTTAGCTGGCTTTTTTCTTTGTCCGACTTGTAGGTCTTTGAAGAAGAGCATCACATCTTGTACCTGGACCATGGTGGAGTTATTGTGGCCATTAAGGACACCTCTATCCCTCTGAAAATACTCAAGTAATCCTACAGTCAATTAGATTAGAGCTATTGTGTTTGAGACCTCAGGCAAAGTTCAGAGGTTAAGATGAGCATTTCAATGTGATCATGAAATGCAGGTGGAGTCAGCTTCATTTAACATTCATTAAGTCAACAAAATGCTGGTGGATGTATTAAAGATTACTTCATGGTGCTGAAGGTACCATGGCATCATCCATTAATCATAACAAAAATTTCTTGCACCAGTGTAGATATTTTTCTTTAAAAGCCTGTCCTGGAACTCTGCGGTAGAAGCCATGTTCAGCATGATTATTTTCTGCTACTGCTTTGCACCAGCAGTATATGGCAATGGTGCACAGCCTGTGGGGCATATGTGGCTTAGGTATCCGCTCAGGATAGCTCATTCATACTCAAGCTCCTCCAAGAGCCACAGTGAATGAAGAGGTTAGAGAATAGCCCTGAGTTGCTCTGGCAAGAGCAATGTGATATAGACTTTGGGGGCCAGTGGGGAAAGGACTTCTGTGTGCTTATGTGCTGTGTAATACAGTTTGCCAGAAGCCCAGTTCATGTGAGATATTCCTGCAAAAATTAACTGTAGTATGTGTAGATCCTGTCATGTAGTGATAATGCAGCAAATGGCCTTCTCAGCTTGTTTGCTGAAGATTTGCTGCGATTGAAGATTGCAAATTTGCAAGATTGCAAAAGATTCGCAAATTGAAGATTTGCGTGGAAAGATTTGCTACAAATCATTTTGTTATAAAATACCAAGTTTAAACTGCACGATAGCGAAGCAAACTATGGTAACCTTAGGTGATGGCATACAAAACTATAAACTTTAGCATAAAAGATGTAAGAGATCTGTATCACTTGTGACTAGGTTCATTTTTTCATAATACTGTATACACTAATAGGAACTGGGCTATGTACTTGGTTAGCTAGAATGAAAGCCATCATTTACCTACTATCCAAAAGACCTGGGGGAAATGTACAGAAGAAAAGAGACTTTGAATAATAAATTTTGGGTGCATAGAGTATTTGAAATATGTTTTGCTGATTCATCAGCATATTTTGCAAATTTTTAAGTGGTTGGTAGCAGCTGTGAAGGCCCTTCATCTTGGTGCCTGCAGTTACTGCACTTCCCGCGTGTTTTAGAAATAGAGCTGTTTTGCCTGTCATGTTCCACTGACCTCTCCTTAGCAGGTCTCCAGCTCAGAGACAACTAGAAAGGATGAGGGGTAAATTAACTTGCTCCTGAACCTAAAAGGTAGCAAGGTAGTTTGTCGGCAGACCTTGTTTTTTATCTGCCTGAGAATTTCCACTGTTGTGGCAAATTTATTATACACCCTCTAATAAAGATGTGAACTCCTGGATATGTTGCTGAGAAACATTTCACATTAATATGATACCCTGTCCAGGCATATTGTATTTTGGCAATTGTAAATTCTGAGGGGTTTATGTGAGGGGTTTGTTTGATCGTTGTTTGGGGTCTTTTTTGTTTTGTTTTGGGTTTTTTGTTTGTTTTGTTTTTTTAATGAATGAATTCTGTTTTGTATAATAATAGCTGTAAATGAAAACCATTTCTGCTTTTTTTACAGGTTCAGCATAGATGAAGGCCAGACTTGGAGTACACATAATTTTACCAGCACTTCAGTCTTTGTAGATGGATTACTTAGTGAACCTGGAGATGAGACACTGGTCATGACGTAAGTTTCTTGTTTAATCTTTTTTTTCAGGGTGCTCTCTACTTATGCACTTGAGCATATTTTTAACTGTGGATGTTTGAGATAGTCCCTGCGTCGGTGACTTTTGTTTCTTGCAGTCAGACAGACTCTTACACTGATGTCCAAACAGCCCTAGAATGCAGCCTGTCTTTGAAATGATCTGTGTGGTATTTCAGTTGGAAAGATGAAGTGTTATGTTCACATGAAATTTCGCAGTTACCGCCAGGGAGGGTGGAATAATAGGACTGCAAATACAAATCTGAGAAACGTAGTTAAAAAAAAATAAGTATTCCCTACCTTATTTTTCTGTTTTCTACAGGTTCTTAGGCAGACTTCAAAAATGCTAAATATCTATCCCCTCTTCTGTGAAAATTGTCTTTGCAGTGTAAATGACTATGTTGTTGTCCTGGTAACTAGCATTGCAGAACTTTGTGTAACCAAACACTGTGCTAACAAATACACATTTTAATTCTGTGCAGTGACTGAGGCAGATGCTGTGAATAGAGTTAAAAATAACAAAATTCTGCAGCTTGGGCCCCTGTTTATCTTTTTCAAAGGGGTCAGCAACATCTGGATCTGAGCTGCAGGTTTTGCTCTGTCTCTTAATGCTAATATTTTAGAAGTGTCTGAGAGTGAAAAACACCTGTCCAATTAGAGAGAAAGGCACATGCTAACTGCAGCAGGGAAGGGGAATGCACTCAGAGATGTGCAGGTTGTTATGTGTGCTCCTATCAGAACAGCTTGTTGATCCTTTATATTGGAGCTCTGTGTTTATGATGAGCTTTTTTCCCAATAAATTACAAATAGAGCTGCCTTTGACAGGTACCAGTAGGAAAACAAAAAAAAAAAAGCCCATTATGGAGTTGTGAAAAGGATCCTAAGCAAAACAAAAATCCTACCCAATGTACTTAAAAGCATTGCACCCAGTTCATAATGCTGTACTGCACAGGGGTGAACTTGGCCTGTTCGTTCGTTCTTTCTCCGCTATCCCATTTATCCTCTGTTACACATGTATGACCTGAGAAGAACAGTATTACTCCACCATCTTCCCCTTCTGTCAAGCATAAGGGGTTTTATGCTATAATATATGCCACACGGAGATACTTATGCCTCTGAATGAAGGATTTCCATTGATTTCAGTGGAAGCAGAGGGATCAAAAGCTTATTCTAAACTGTACTTACTGGCAGATAAAATGGTGTGTGATGACTATATGCTCTGTGTGAGTTTTTTATATTAAGTATCCTTGAAAACAGTGGTTTTCTGAAGGTGTACTTAAATATCTGGTTGAATAGGCTAAAGAGCTCACGTAAAACAATACCTTTTTGAAATCATCCATCTGGAATGTATATAACTGTAGCTACATTTGGTACATGGGCCCACATCGACAAAAAGCATCCTGTGACTTTTATGTTTCTGAGGGGACAAGAGTCTGACTCCAGCATCTCAATGCCAGGCTTGTAGGATCTTACTCTGCAGGCAGTTCTACTGAACATGGAGGACGTCAAACACTTACTGTCACAGACTGGCCCTGTAAAGACTTATTAGACTCTAAAGATAATAGGAAGAATAAACGTACAGTATGTGTTTCCTTATTGCTGTTATATCAGCTTCCTTGTCTCTCCTACTGCTTTTGATTGGGTTTTACCTTCAAGGTGACGTTGTCTGGCTTTGTGGTTCTGTGTCTGACTTTACTGCAAGACTCTTTGTCGTTCTGTCTGGCTTAGGTAATTTGCTCTTAAAACTTCACACTTGAACTGGGTTGCTGGGCATGACTTAATATGCAGTAATTTTTCTGGTTTTGAGAAATGTCATCCACTGATACGCATTCCCTGGGAAAAAAAAAAAATCAACTATACCACCTTTTCCATTTTATTAGATAAAAAGTGTTTCTTCTGGGTAGAACATGTAAGCTGAACATGTGTATGGTAATAGGAATAAAGTAACAGTGTCTTTCACCCTGAAGAATCCAAATCCATTACTAAGGACCTAGTCTGACATTTTTTACTTAAACAGGAATTTCATTTTCTCCCTTTGGTAGGAAGTTTGTTTGAATAAGGCCTTTGAATAAAGAGTCCAATGTCAAACTCTGCATAAATTAGCAGAGATAACATAATTCTGAAGTAGGAAGGTAATATCTGAAAGAGTTTACAGCAGAACAGTGGAACTGAAATGGTTTTATTTAAAGTTTCTAGAATAAACTCACAGAAAAAAAAAGTCAGTATTTTACTTGTTCGGAAAGCAGCTGTTAGTGTAGGGTAAAATCCTGGTTCTACTCGTCAGCTTAGGGATTTCCTTCAAGGTTTTAAATTTTTATTAATTAAAAATAATCCACAAAAATTATTTGGGAAAGGCATTTGGGAAAGGCATTAAGGGACCTGGTAATAGCATGTCTATGAGAGAATTCTCATTTTCCAGCATGGTGACTGGGACGTTGACCTGACTTGTAAAGGACTTCCATTTGAATTCCTGTTCAATCCTAACTTATCCAAAATGAAGTGGTCTGGAAGGATTTACTGAAGAAACAGGGGAATGTGAATCTTGTTGCCTCAAGTCTTCATTTCAGAAAGTTTTGTACTTTCTCCAAAAACAAATGAGAAAAAACAAATGTTGACTTGTCAAAAGTTTTCATAAACTGAGTTGTCATCTGCCAGTTGACATTAATCTAAATCATTCATCCAAATCCTCTGCAGTATTCAAAATATGTGCACTCAAGTGCCAAGGAAAATATATTTTATTCAATTGTGCTGTGCAATAGACCTTGTTAAGGTTTTTAGGAGTTTTAAGCAGTAAAGTAGTCAAAAATTTCAGAAAGTTCATTCTATGTACAAATCAATTTCTAAATAGACCTAGTTAAGAGCTTTAGGAGAGATAAGCAATCAAGTATTCATAAAGTGTAGGAAACTCATTCTGTGTAAAAAATCAATTTCTAAATGAAGAGCTCAAATTCACCATTTATTGTGAAATGAATAAGTAAGGTTTGCTAAGAAATTTTCTTAAGTAATTGATATATAGTCAGCAAAATAGCGCATGGTCTAGTAGGCTTTATTTTGTTATTAATTCTTTAAGGAAAGTTATTGCAACCCAGTGTTAAAGATATATTTGGAAAAAATTACTTAATAACACTGGATTGAGTAATGGCCTAACTCAGTGGGAAAAGGAAGCATTTTTGTGTGCCTGAAATATTGATGTTACTCTTCAAAGGAAGTAGTTCATCTAATGAAAGTTTCAAACCTGTTAAAATGACTTCTAAATCACAGTTCAGCTTCTGGGAGTGTTTCCCAAACCAGGTTATTTAGATGACAGTGTGAACCCAGTAGGGATGATAATCACGGTACCACAGACTATGGCCCCTTTTTAAAAAGGCGGTAAAAGGTTACATAAAAGGACTGCTTTTCTTTATGTCAGATAGAATCAAAGTCTTCCTTATGGGTAATTTTATTTTTTTTTCCAGAGGATGGATGTTTTTTTTCATAATGTCTGTAGAGTAACAACTTAAGATGCTGCAGGGAACTTCATGAAATCTCTGAACTGCAGAACTCCTGCACGTGCACCTTGCTCTCTTGAAAGTCTGTTGTTGCAATCCCATTGGGTTCCTAAGTGATAATAGAAGTAAGAAAATAGTCTAGTTTAAACTTAATCAAAACAAGGTGGATATCATATTAACAGGTGTTAGATATTAGGTAGAACCATCTGGAATTTTGCAACTGTTGATTCTGCTAGTGACGTCAACCTCAGCTTTAACAACATCAGTACCAGTCGGCGTTTCATGTAGTTTGTGGGGCTTATTGTTGTGCCACACATGGCAGCACACTGCCTTTCCTGTTGTCTTTGAGTATCTTACTAGTGGAGGTACTTCTCTGTGTTCTGAATTCTTCAGTACTAGCTTTCTCATACTGCAACCCCTAGAAAAAAGGTAGGTAAATGGTAGATAAAACCTCATTATGTAAGAGAATATCTGATTTCTCAAGGCAAATTCTAGGTTTTATTTGCAGCTAGGTTAATCTCTTGTTTGAGAAGCATTGCTCAGTCATGCAATGGTTGTTCTGTTCTCTGCATAATGAGGCCTGCATCTGTCTGTCAATAGACAGAGAAAACATATAGAAAGACAGTAAGAGAATGTGACCTTTGATAAAAGAGCATTGAAAAAGCAAACTGCTTACTCTATTTCAATGTAATCTAGTTATCGGATAATCCAGATGTACAAATGCCTGTTTAGTGGCAAATCTGATGCTTTGCTTGCATCTGTGTAGACACAGATGTTAGCAAAGCATGTCATTGCATTGCAGTGTCACAGCCAACTCTTGGAGCCAAGACCATGGGATTGCCCCTGTCTCTCCCTCTGCTCAAAACAAGTCCAGCGTTTAAAACTTTGCTTTTTCTTTTCCTTCCATAAAGTTTCCATAACATGTTCAGACGGATGGCAACATGGTGGTTTTAGTGTCTTACTAAAGCCCATATTTAGAATATCTTGAGGGCAGACCTGGAAAAGTATTTGAATAAGAGGAACTGAAATTTTAGGAGTACATGTCCTGTAAGACTCTTTATTTTGAGCCTCTGCCACTGATGGACAGAGCCTGCCCTGCAGCTGTGGTGCTCTAACTTCAATTTCAGGGAGACAGTTCCATTTTAGATCTAATTAGATCTAATAAATAGCGATGAAGAGGTAGACATTGGAAAATTCCACCAACAGTAAAATTGTTCAAACATTTTACTTTACTTTTGTGTGCAGCCTTGAACTCTGTTTCGCTATATTTTGTTCTAACAATGAAGGAGTCACAATTTAGGTGACCCTACCAGGCTATTTACTCTAGCTCTACCAGGTGAAGTCTGAATGAAAAATTTCCTACCTGTGACAAAAGTGATTTTCCTTTTAAGTATGTGAGTAAAATAAAAAAAAAATCTAAAGAACTAATTATAAAATTTTGTAGGTATCCTAAATTAATTTTGTCTTTAAGTAAAATGAGAGCAGAGAGCTGAATGA